CGCGTTGGTATGGTGCACCCTTATAAATTACTCCAACTCCTGACCCAGCTTGATGTGTATAATAATTTTCATATGGACATTTATGATGGTCACGAAGAGAATTCATTATTATAATTTTCGGAAATGTAGTTTAATACACACGGTTCCAAACTGGAATGGTATTTTTTGTCCTGTGCTCGATCTTATAACTATTTCCAGCGTATCGAACTCTCTTCGCATAACAGGTAAGTAGTGAGGTTGAGAGAAAACGTGCATTTTATTTGCACCATAAATGTATTTTGTAGGATCTAATGAAATGACTCTTAGTAAAGGAGTCATAACATCACCCACAATCTAAGGATCGATAATGTCGCAATATATAAAGAGTTGAGATGGTAACCCTAAGTGTAAATTAGCAGGACACTTTCCAAAACTTCTCTCTAGGAGATTTTTATTTGGTTCATAACCTAGTTGTAAACTTAATTTGGGTGATAATGTTACGGAAGTTATATTTTTATCCAAAACAGAAATAGACACAAATTTTGTTATTTCATCATAGCGAAATTTCAAGTTCTCTCCGATACCATTTAACACTCTTAAAATATGCTCAACGTTATCATAGTTGGTAGCTGGAATATGTTTTTTGTAGTACACTGTGGATGGTTTAACTTCATTAGGCATTAACATAGATTTTGTAATGTATATAACATTTTCATGATCTTGAACAGTAAACATGGTACATGGATATTGAAACTCGACAACTCCAACCGACCATTCACCTTCTAATTTAATAGCTTTCGGTAATTTCGTTGAAAAATTTGTGGTCTTGTTATCAGGAAAGTATTCCATTGAACTATTGCTGAGCAAAGTTAAATAAAAACTTTCTTTATTCATATTTTTTTTAAACTAGAAGCTAAAATCCAACTGTTAAATTTATCTGGATAACCTTTCCACTTCACTAATACTTCTTTTCTGTTACCTGAGTAACGAGTGTCAATTATTTTATCTATTTTATATTGTGAGGTGGGGTTGTAAGTGATTTTCTGTAATTCTCTTTCATAAAAAGTACCAACTATTGGTTCATTTTGTAAATCTGTTTGTTATTGTATAAACAACCCATGGAGATCTATCAATTATTGAAGATATAATAAATATTTCATCACTCCAATTTGATTCATATCCTTTTTGGAAAGCATGTTTATATTTAGTTATTCGAACATAATCACCCACATTGAAATTTGGTTTAGGATTTTCTAAAGAAAGTTTGTTTGATCGTCTTTCATAAAGTTTGGTCCAAATTGTCATAATATTGTTGGAATTTACATCACATGGGCACATCTTAATACTAGAGTGAAAGCTGTGATTGTAAGAGTATATTAAATCTTGTAAAACATCTATATATCTATAAGTATTATTATGAGTGAAATAACGCCACATTTTCATTTTTAGTGTTCTTTGAAATCGTTCAACAATACTGGCCTTAATGTCAGGATTGTTAGTGGTATAGTAATTAATCTTTTTGGATTTAAAGTATTTTTGTACATCTTTTGAAACAAATTCTGTACCTTTATCAGATTGTATGTGAGTAGGTGTTAAATTACTTTCAGTAAATATACTTTCAAAACATTCTTTAGTTGTTTCTGAATTTTCATTTGTCTTGCAAAAGCATATTTACTAAATACATCAATAACACAAAGTATATACTTGAAACCATCATTATATTGAGAATAAGTTCGCATATCACTTAAATCAGCTTGCCACAGTTCATTAATATTTGATAGAATGTACCTATTACGCGGGAATTTTTTTCGAATGGGTTTATGTAATGTGTATGTTTCTTGTGATTTTAACCATTCTTTTACTTGCTTTTTATTCATTTTACCCTTCATGGCTTTTGATAATTTATCAATACTACCAAAACCAGCGGGATTAGATGGATCATAATAAATCCTGTTAATTTCTTCTAGTACGGGGTCCATTTTTCCCACTCAAGCCTTTTACGTATTTTAGTTGTAGACTTTTTATCTCTACTGCTCGGTGTAGAAAACTCTTGAAATTCAATCTCAGAGGGTTTGTTCAGATCTTTTGCTTGAAGTTGGTTAATAAACTCACATCTCTTTGGATTTCCAATATAAGTAAGTGGTACTTTAATATCTTTTAATGCTTCCGCAAATCTATCCCACCCTACTGGATCACTTCTTTTTAAGGGTCTTAGTGAATCATTTATTAAATCAACAATATTACTTCCAGGAATTTTTTCATTATCAATTATGACTGTACCTTCATTATCCCAATGTATTTTACCTTTACTTGTTTCAACTAAGTTTAATAATAACTGTCCTTTTTTTATTATAAGTTTTTGGTATTAAACTGAGTATTTGAGCTGGTGTGTAAAGTGGATTTTCAACATTTTCTTTACTTTTGATGGATCGATTCTCCTCCAACAAAGATTCAGCATCAACTGAAGTTTTTAGATCTCTATCTTTATTTTTAAAACCAATTTTAGACTCGTTTGAATCTTCATTAGATGTATCAGAATAAATTGGTAATCTGAGTGGTTGACGATCCTCTTCAGTAAAATGAAGGTATCTTTGCAGTGTTTGTAAATATAACATCCATTTCTTTCGGTCTTCCATCTTACTATTCATAATATTTTGCATTTCAATATCTAATCGAGATAAACTACTACTCGTATTAACCTTATTTTCTTGTTTTAATTTTTCAATCAATCCAGGTTCGATAAGTATCATTTTCTTTGCATTTTCCATGTTAACTGGCTAGTCCACTCACTAATCCACTCAATATTGCACCTAATATTATTGGTAAGAAAGCCCCTCCTTTTTGTATAATTATATTTTTTCTTAGTTTATGTTTACACTTACGCACTAGTTGACGGAGTATATTTTTGTGTTTATTCAATTTTTGTTTATCTTGATCTTTAAGAGGTACTTTTCCTTGTAAAACGTTATGAATACACTCACAAATACAGTTAATTTCTTCTTCATCACACGTTTTAAGTAATGCTCTTTGATATTTTGGTTTAAGCGTATGCAAAGCGTTTAGCAAATGTTTATGCGTTGTGAGTCGACGATGCATCATTTAGCAATGATTTGAAATGTTTGATTCTTGGTGTATTTAAACTCTTTTGTGGGGACGTAGACTGTGCAGAAACCATTAAATGGGAAGACATTTGTCTTGATACGACAAAAATCATTGGTATTCTGTTTTAAATTTACCATTAAATATCCATGCGCCTCTAGAGTTGCATCCCTGTAGGCATCTTCAATAAATTTTGGGTTATCTGGTGACACTTGTCGTGCTAAATATCTTATTTGAGTTTTATCTCGAGGGTTTTTAAAATATATTATATAACTTGAGTTTAAGGATAATATGTCTCTTTGCCCTTTACCCTGATGAAATAAATTTTGTGTTAAATAAAATACACTAAGATTCCTGTGATGACTACCTTTTGTAAATATATCCACAATTCTTCCATCGGACTCTCTCATTAGATCATCAATAATAACAAGATGTGGGTTTTCACCGTCAAACATATTAACATTTGGAATTCCTTGATGGTAGTTAACATTTGGTAAATTATATAAAGGTTGCATTTCATCAAAGCACCATGTGATCTGATTAAAATCACAATTACATATTTCTGTAACTGATTTTATAAAATTTGTTACAAAATTTGACTTCCCACATCCACTTGGCCCCGCCACAATAGCAGTAAACGGATGGATAAAGTGAAACATTACACACGTCTAAAGTTCTAAGGGGTGAAATAAAAAATGAAAGTGTTGGTGTTAACAATTAATATATATTGCAAACATTATATAAAACAGAATGATCTGTATACTATTTCTAACACAATTAGTACATCATAATTTTACAATCAACTCAACCTCAAATAAATGTACACATACACACGCAAATATAAACAACAATTAACTTAAATTATTTACAATAAATCAACGATTAAATATGTAATAAACTCTACGTCATATTATACTATTATCATTATTTTACAATCAATACAAATTTTATTTACATGCAGACATAAAATTAAAAACTATCAACACTTAACGCAGTTTATAATGACCCCAAGCTAATGTTTCAATATTATTATCTAAAATATGCCTCTTTGTGTCATTATATGATAAACCAATCTTATTTAATTTTTTGTGTAAAAATTGTGTGTTTAATTGATTTAAATCTAAGCATACTATAATATTGCACTTTTTTATTAAATAGAGAAGACTTATAATTATCCATGGTCATCTTTTTAGTGATACATTTATTTACCCCTTTTGCCTTGGCTATAGTCTTATTCTCTAAGTTAAAAGCGTACATTTTGGATCGTAAGCCCACAAATTCTTTCATGATTTTACCATTATTTTCATCTTTAAAAAAACCTAATTTCTTTTTATTTAATTTTGGATATTCAAAAATATTATTTGCATCATAAGCTGAGGTATCAAAGTATGATGAAAGGTCAGGTTTTATATCAGAGTAAAAATCATCTGTAAATATATGATATATTAAACTATCCGTATCTGTATACAATAATTTGATTTTACTAAACTTTTTAACCATATAGTTATAATGAAAATCATACATTAATGTTTTTGAAATATCTAAAATGCAAAACCCTAAATAAATTGGTTTGTTATATATTAACTTTGTTTTTCGCAACTGAACCGCAACTAGGTTTTCCGAAAATACTGAAAGACTATGAAATTGTGGTTTAGCGATTAGATCTTGAGCACCTAAAGCTTTGCCCTGGTTCTCCCAGTGTGTAACTAATTTTATGTTTTTCCCTTTTTTTCAATATTCTCCATAGTCTTTCCGAAGACTGAATTATTCATTAATTTATAAAAATCTTTTTTCGAAATCTGATTTTGCTAACGTTCTTAATTTTGTGTTTAGATCTATGTACATCTTCAACCAGCGAGACTGTTTAAATTTTAAAACTCTATGAATTTTAGTTAATTTAACCCCCATTTCTATGCACTGCTTTAAATTTCTGTAATGAATTACATATTTATCTTTATTATTTAAATTTGGGACTAGTTTATTTTCATTAATATTGCCTGCACAAATGTTTTCGGGGCATAAAGGAAAGTCCGAATGTAAATCATGAAGTTCATCTGGATATTCCAAATCAACTTCTAAAATAAAACCGAAGTTCGATGTCTCAGACACATTAAATTCTGTATTCGGATTTACCCATTCGAATCCACCAGTAGGAAGACATTGAGACATAGCCCAACCATATAAATTGTTGGCATCAAAATATGTGATATATGAATTTGGTTTCCCTGCATCATAATCCCCCATATATTTGTTATTAGCTCTAGCATAACGATTACTACATTGAGATACACCACCCCTGATACCTGATCTAATAAATGCAATATTCTTATAATCTGTTAAAAGTTCTAATTCTATTTTTGTATATTTTAACATTGCATCCCAACATAAACCGGGTGCTGTGTAATAATGGGCAGGGTCTAAATCATAATAATACATAACTTTCTAAAGTTTTCAAATACATCGGTTAAAAGTAAAACGTCTGTTTTTAAATACAGGTTTGAATAACATATATAGCATATTACAACACCCAAAGTGTTCCCAAATATCTTTAGCATGATTGTAATCATCATTTGAAATATGGGAATCTGTGAGCGAGCTATAAAACAATTTTTGTTCGGGGAGCGATGTTAGGCTTAAACTATCATAATTAGTCATAAGTTCATATGGATAAACGCCTTTCCGTTTTAAACGAAAGAAATCTTCATGATTAGGATAATTTCTACGTAATTCTTGAAATTAATCATTACTGAGATTTTTGGCCAATTCCTCTAATTTACATGATAAAAACTTAAATGAATCTATGAATCTTAATATAATTTCGTGGTTATTCATTTTTAATTTTTTGGAAAAAGGATATATATTTTTCTTTATTTTGAGGGATAACTTCGACTTCACCATCACAAAAGTTTAATGCGTGAACAATAAAATGAGCATCATAGTGACTAAGGTTGTGTAAAAATATTGGTATATAACGAGGTTTCCTGAACTTCGAGCTACATGATTCGTGAGCAACACCTATAAAACTACCGGTGTACCAATCAAAATCATAAAAATGTTCTGCTAACTCTGTTTCACAAATATGACAAATGGTTGCATTTGAAATTTGGTTTTTGTCTTCATTTGTTAGCGGAAGTGGAGGATATTTTTGAAGTCTATTTATTTCTTTGAGATTGTTAGATAAACTTTCCATAAACACTTGTGCACAGTTGGGTCCGCAATACGTTACATATTTTGATAATTTATCATCATATGAACATTTTATATAATAACCAAAACTATGTACTTCATGTTTCTGAATATTGTGTGTGAAAGGTTTGGAAGGATCGTTAGAACATGATTCTATTGGTTTTAAAAAATGCTTCAAAATCAGCATAAACTACGAATGGTATCTTCAACTTTTTTTCATAACTATCAAATTTAATTTTATCATTTGAAATAGGTTGACCAAACCAATTCTTTTTTTTAAAAGTTTCACTGTTTGGTAATTCTGTACAAATGTGGGCACAATCGTATTATTCATGGTTATTTAAACTTTCCTTAGATAGAAAGTGAAGTAGACATGCTTCGCAAATGTTCATGATGTGACCGTCTTTTGAAATTTGTTTACTAACTAACCGCGATAAATTTTTTATGTAACAATAATGATTTTTTGTATCCTTGAAAAAAAATAATAAATTGATATGTCTATCTTTACGACACTTTGTTAAAAATAATGGACCTACTATAGAATTACATCGTTTTTCTTTATTATATTCTAACCCAAAAACATTAATACTAATATCATTTAATTTCTCTACTTTTGCTATGTCAGAAATTTTAACTGGAAAGGAAATACCATTAAATTTAAGTTTATTTGCATGTTTAACGTACGATAACACACGATCCGCGTCTTTGTTTACGGGATATAACGCCGAGAGTAACGCCCATTTAAAACAAAAATAATCCTTGCTTTTTACATTTATAACAGCCTTTTTTAATTTTATGTCACGAAAAAGATCTATGTATGAAAAGATCTATAGATTTTATGTTTTTTAGACTCCATCCACTATCTTTTTTTTCAAATGCACTAATTTTAGTAGTAATTGTATCATTTAAAGATGAAAAAAATATTTTAGTCATCTCCTTGACAAATAATATAGTTAAGCGTTTGAAAATCGAACGTATCATGAATATCTTTAGTTTGTTGAACAAAATCAGCATGCAATATGAAGTTTACTTTAAAAATTATGTGTTGATGAATACACTCTTGTATTAAAAATAAAATATCATCTTTAATAGAATTTAAAAATAGTTCAGGAGTTTCAAAATTTACCAATGTCGAACTATCTACTCTACTCTTGATTTTATAAGTTAAAATCCTATTTCCAAAAGCAGATTCAATAACACTAACGTTTGATAAAGAATTATGTGAATTTAAAAGATTATTTTTGTGAACATTACTTTTAAAATGATTAGCTAAATACCGTTTCTTGATAAATATATGACACGTTAGACATTCCACTTGATCTTCGTTACTGATACTGTTCCCTGCAGAGGTAGGCGCTTCTGCTTCCGGTGTTGGTTTTTTGATGATCTTGGGTTCTTTGCTGCTCGTTCGCTTCGTTCCTCTTCCAAGTTGTAGTGGTTGACTACTAAAATATTTAAATTTATTAAAAACTGTACAAGACATTGTGTAAATTATGATCGAAATGAATGTTTATTTTACTTACTTAAACTGTGTTTCAACCATCGCACAGTGATTATACAACTCATCATCATACGATGAATCGAACAGTTGATCCTTCTCCATTTCATCACAAACTTTAGACAACTCCTGATTTAATTCGCTGTTGAATAGTTCCGTATTCTCTTCCATGGTTGTGGAGAAGAAAGCACTGGTGCACACTTCACTGAAGTTTGCCATCCTTATAGTGAAGAAGAAAATAGGTAGCAGAGTAAGTAACAGTTCAGTGTTGGTAGACCAACTGATATCCAAATTTCAAATAATGTCCGATATTTAAGTCTAACAAAGGATTAGAAATAGAATATAATGAGTACACGGAAGTAATTTAAGTAAACAGAATCACATTCACTAATGATCAGCTAATGACTGTCATTGTTAAAAAAGTATTTTTTAACTTTTTCACTTTCTGCTATTGTCTTTGTAATATTGTATACGAGGGCGTTTGTGTTGTCGTAGATGCTATCCTTATTAGTCTTTACGTAATATTTAATCCTCGTGGAAGCATGTTTCCAATGATCAGTAGTTGGAATCTTGGATAGCTTCTTCATATCGTACATTTCAATTTTGATGAGATGCGTCGCTTGGTCTCCGTCGTCAGAATTAGTAGAAATGTATGATACACCATCTCTAGCGGCTCGTGCTACGGTTGATGATAACAGCTTATTATTATGGGGCCGATAATGCTCGGGACGAGCATGTATTAGGAGGGGGCAGTGTTACGCGCTCAAGTCAACGATACACTAGCTCTATCTAGTGTCAGAAACGAGAGCGAGGGGAGCATTGAGAAAATGACATCACAAATCTTTCGACCGACAGCGCCACCCGAAGAACTAAGTTTCTGGAAAATCTACACTCGAATACTCGTTGCCTGGCGCGCATTTACTTGAATGTTTGGGACGCTTCTTTGCTAATTATATAAATAGGCGCTGCAAGATGCGATCGGGCAGAGTTGAACTCGGCGACACAAGCGAAGCTTCGGAGCGGAATTAAGTGAATTAGTGTGTTTAATTATTAGTGTTTTTAGTTTTAATTTGTGTAAAGTAAATTAAAGTGTTAATTTAGGTAATTTTATCGGCAATTTTTATTGTCACGAACCTCAAGCTCGTAACAATAATATACTAATTGGGGTGTCTGAGGGTGTGCGTTAATTACGTTACATATTGTATATAGTATTTTATGAATAACAGCGGTTTATTGATCAGTTAGGAGGTAACTTTGGATTTTTTTCTATCGAGAAAATTTTACGGAATCGTGTTTTCGTCTATCATAGTACCTAACATTAATCCTCAACTTAACCATATATTTATTCCAAAATTAATGCTGCAATATTTTCGGCATAACGGAGGATCTTGTTAAGCCATTTGAGGTTATATTTCCCCTTAAGTTTTTTACGGAAAAGGGTGACAAACGAGCACACAGTCCTCCTGATAATAAGTGGATGCTGTGGCCCATAATCATCCACATACATCCTCAGTTAAGTTAAAATGCAGTTGCATTGTCACCCCTGACAATGCCCCGTTTTCAGTAACTTCGTTTGTCAGTTCAATTTCATTAAGAAAAAAATGATTACCAGGTGTAATGTTCTGACTGGTCCTCATGAAGGCACACTCCAGAGCACCAACGATAAGGTACATGGCGGCCAGACGCTGCAGGACTCCGGGAAGCCGCACGTTAGCCCAGGACACGTTAATTGAGCCCAGGCAGATGCCGATCAGCGCTAGGAATAGAGACCGCCGCGCCACCTAGAGCGACAAATTAATAGTAATAAATTACCTATGTAACTAAAATGTGGTATTATGTTATAAATTAATGGCATATTTTAGAAGAAATTGTTAAATACATTTGAAAAATTAAAAAAAAATTATCATTGCATATAATGGAAATTTATAGGAGTGATAATAATCTCTTTTAACTTTTGAGATAATATTTTATTTTATAGAATAAGGGTGACGAGCGATAACTCTACCTGATGGTAAGTAGATACTGTGGCCTATAAACATCTTTCTTTGGTCAAATCATTTCACAATCAAAATGAGATATGTGTTTTTAACCCCTCAGGACTGAAATAGTTTTGGCGATGGAAAGAAAAGGTGAGATCTTCCGCCGGGCAAGGTGTTGTGCCTGGGGAGCGGCCAACGCTCCGTGTGATAGTTCCGAGCTATTCTTTCTATATATATCCTCTTTTTTGATTTGTAACTTTGATAGCGCAATTTAGGTTTTGATGTGTTTCGCTTGAAGCGCGACGACAGCGCCGCCACATGGTATTGCTTTTTGCTAGTAAAAAGGGAACCACAGTAGCAATATTATGTTCTTTCGCGCTGGTATTCTGTGAGGGCATGGTTAGGCCCCGGTCGAGCTGATCGATTCATGCAGCAGCCATATATGTATATATAGCTGCGGCGTAGCTTTACCCTTATCGAAAATCCACTGCAGAATAGAGGAGGGGTAGACGGAGGGGTCCATAGAGTGCGTGATATTTTAAAGAGAACACATGGAACATGTGAACATGGACAAACGACATGGAAGATACATTAGTGTTACATCTCTATTTTAACAATATTGTGTCATTCGAGAGAGACCGGTGCCCGTGTAGGTTTAAAGTCCCATATTACAGGTCACCAGCCCCCCCCCCCCCCCCGAATTTACTTGGCAACTGACATAATATAATACAGAGAACACATATATTACGGTTAGAAAGAATAATATTAATTATATGTGCCATGTATGTTTGTCATGTTTGACAGACGGGTTAGAAACTTCATTTTTTTTGAGCAGTTAAAATGCTGCTGCCCATCCTCTGCGCCACTTCCCTCTGTCGCCACTTACGACACTCACGGGATGATATGAGGTAGTGTGGACTGCCTTACGTCACAACTACACGGCTAATCGACGGCTCTCAATTGGACGTAATAAACTTCCCACGACAAGTTATGATTTAGCACGTATTATACGCGTAGACACAGTGATCCTCACTAGTCCTTACCAAACTGTATATCATAATATCGCCTTAAGGGTAGGTCGAATGTAGAATCAGAAATGGGAGTAAAAACCACACCTCTTTATTTTTAAATATTGTTAGTTTCATTAGGAATTAATATCCAGTAAAGTTACAGCCGGTATACGTCCCACTGGTGGACACATGCCTCCTATCATTTCTGAGGGGGTTTTAGGGCGAGTGTTTAGCGAAAGTGTCCGCGGCATTGCCCCAATGCGTGTTGGCGGACTTTACATGTCTTCGAAATATTTTCAGACATGTAGGTTCTTTCACGACGTTTCCCTTCACCACCGGGCACGTGGTAACCAGCACTTATTTGCAATTAACAATATCATTGGTGTCGCCGGGGATCGAACCCGACGTGCTCGCGTATTGCGAAATTTACAGCGAACGCTAAGCCCCGAGCTACCATGACTCTATTCATATCCAGGACCCTTAATAAAGTACTCGATCGAAAAGTTAGTTTTTCTTACCTGACCGAAAGCAGTGAAGCGCGGCAGGGAAGTCCTTAAGCGGGCGTTCAGTGAAAGTACCAGGGCTTCGCCCATCACGAACGCGAACCATGGGAACACCACATCAGCCACCGTCAGTCCGTTCCACACTGAGTGGTTGAAGATACCATATCCGCCGCCGCCGCAGTTCACGAATATCTACAAAAGCGTAATTCTATGGTTAACTACTATCACCGTTGTCGTTACTACCAATTAAAAATCACTAATGAACATAGCCCCCCTCCCCGCCCATAGATTAACACATAGGAGGGATATTTGTAATATTTGACGGGCTTGGCGTGAGGGTTGGCAACCGTATTTTTTACTTTTAGTCGTTATTTAGAAGACGCTGCTGCCCATCTGGTTTGTTTACCCCTGTCGCCTCTTACGACACCCACGGGTCGATATTGGGTAGTGGATAATATTGTTGATGGCACTAGCGCCATCTAGTATCGAATAGAAGAACTAACCTTTCTGGAAAACTCCACACTCGAACTTTCTCCACCTAGTCGGTCGGGACTGGTATTTGCTGGAATATTCTAGATGTTTTTGTGGAAAAAGCCTATTTAATGCCGTTGAAAGCCGTGATCGGGGTAGTATTGAATTGGCAATACAAGCGAAGCTTCGGAGCGAAATAAAGTGATCAGTGCGATTAATTATTAGTGTGTTTTAAGTTTTAATTGGTGTTCGGAAATTAAAGTATCAATTTTGGTAATTCAATCGGCAGTTTTTATTGTCACGAACCCTAAGCTAATAACAATATTCTTACACCACTATTGCACGGTATAAATTAACATTTTTAATTTCATTTTACTTTTAGGAAAGGATAATTCGAGGACTGGCCGGATGAAATGGCCCGAAGCTGATGATTTTAAAACGGCTGAACAGATTCTCTTATCATAGCTAAGAATGGTTTCGATCAAGTCATCTTTCAACAAAAAAGAAAAGAAAACTCAATCAAAATCGGTTGATCTGTTTGGGCGCTAAGATGCCACTGACAGTCGCACGAATCAGACGCGTTACGACGAGAGGGGTGTTATACACCCCTGCAAACAGAGGAGGTTACGAATAGACGAAGACTGGGACAACCTTAAAGATGATGCTGATATTGAAAGAGAGATGAACTATCCATTGCTTTTTGAATTGAAAGAAAACTGAGTTTTATAGATTTGTCACAGATGCAGCCATTAAAAGGAAACTGAGCAAAATCGATTCGTCAGCCTATTAAATGTTTTGAAACGCAGCCTATAGGAAAGCATGACAATAGCCTGTTTATTCCAAATGGAAATGGGATATTTTTTAATTATAGGAAACTAAGCATAATTATCTGTCAAGGATGCAGACTTTAGAAAAGAAACTGAGCTAAATTGATTAGTCAGAGATGCAGTTTTCTGAATTGAAAGGAAACTGAGCCAAATAAAAGACCCGTCAGAGATGCAGCCCTTTGAGCTGAAAGGTAACTGAGCTTAATAGGTCCGTCAGAGGTGCAGCATTTGGAATTGAAAAGAAACTGAGCTAAATAGGAAATTTTGAATTGAAAGAGAAGATCTGTGGGAATTCTGATTAATTGATTGTGGGAATTTTGGAAAAAAAACTAACTGAACACTATTTTAAGACGCTACTGTACACAATGTTATATGTTTTCCATTCGGGGGAAAGAATGTGGAAATTCTGGGCATTTGACACACCCGAACATGCTACATACAGCTGACCATGAGAGAAGCACGGTTTTTCTAAGTTGACCCCCGCTACCTGTAACGTTTGCCCTTGCGCTTTATTGTCATTGTAAAACTGAGCTTAATAGGGAACTGCAACCTTTTGAATTGAAAAGGAAGATCTGTGGGAATTATAGGGATCCGTAGTATAGTAACATTTTCACCTTTTCCTACACCTGTCAAAATTGTAGCACCGATTATGGTCCGTCCAAGATGTGTCACACGCAGACTTGTCCCGTTACATAACCGAGGAGCATCTAAATTTCGCATTAGCATGACTGGGATGCCTAATTTTAATTGAAGCTTATGTGAGGGCACACCTGACAACTCTAGAGAATTTAGAAACTCTACGGGATATGACGTTCAAGATGTGTCACACGCAGCCTTGTCCCGTTACATAACCGAGGAGCATCTAAATTTCGCATTAGCATAACTGGGATGCCTAATTTTAATTGAAGCTTATGTGAGGACACACCTGACAACTCTAGAGAATTTAGAAATTCTACGGAATATGAAGTGCTCTGTTCTGTGTCCATAACTGTGTCTACTGACAAATACTCTGTTATTTCTTCTGCTACTTCGCTTAATATATCTGAATTTATTTTGTTAACGCTCTCATTTTTTGGTGCAAGAATCGCCCTTTCACATAACCATTTGTCTTCATGCATGTTGTTCGTTAAATCTGAATAAACGCTCGCAATTAATTCGGAATGACTCTGTACTAAATTACAAAAATCTCTCGTCAATTTAACGCAGCCCTCAGCATCCGTTTCCAACTGCCCATCGCCAATTTTTAATAGTGTATCAGCATAGTTTCCAGCATTGATATCATTATACAAATGCACTCTCATATTCGTAGTTAAACTGAATTTTGTCACCTTGTTCCATAAAATAGACGACTTGAGGCATGCTTTAATTTCATCTGCAGGTGTGCCCTTTTGAATGACAGGTAAAGTTTGACGAAAGTCACCAGCCAGTAAAACCACCATTCCTCCCATTACGTCGGTATTGCTGCGCAAATCCTGGAGCGTTCGATTTAGTGCTTCTACAGCTTTTTTATGGGACATTGTACTTTCGTCCCACACTAAAAGTTTGCATTGTCTTAGCATTATACCTCGTGCACTATTTTTGCTAAAGTTGCTGATCGGCGATTCTTCCTGGGCTAGATTTAAAGGGAGTTTTAAAACAGAATGTGCAGTGCGGCCCCTGCTTAGCAGCGTGAAGAGAAGAGGAAGCTACGGCCACATCAATGTTTTTATCTTTCCGTACTTGCGCTAATAATAAATTTAACAAAAATGTCTTCCCAGTTCCTCCAGGGGCATCTAAAAAGAAAAGTGCACCATTTCCAGATTCAATTTGTCCTAATACTTTGTCAAAAACTCGTTTTTGTTCGGGAAGCAAGCGGAGTCAAGTAATAGTTAGGGGTAAAAGCGTGACAGGTGGTGATAGTATTTCTGATACATACTTATAATCACGCCTGTAACCCTTGCGGGGTAGGCAGAGCATCAACGGATTACTTAATATCGTCTGCGAGGTTATCGCCTATTCTGTGAATTACAATGCACCAAAACGTTTGAAGAAAATCAGCTGGTGAATTTTATGTTTTTTATCGCTCTCTTCCCGGTCCTGCGTGGAAAAATACAGATCCAATGTATGGATATATATTATCTTAATTTTGGTAAAAAGGCCCGAACCGAACCGAACTATTTCCATACACAAATTCATGCCATGCCGACACTCTGTTGCGACGTGAAAGAAGGACAAACTTTTGCAACATATTCGATTTTCCCTCGGGACTTACACTACAGCCACCGAACTATCCCCATACCAAAATTCATGCCATGCCGACGCTCTGTTGCGACGTGAAAGAAGGACAAACAAACAAACAAACAAGCAAACACACTTTCGCATTTATAATATTAGTATGGAAGTATGGATGTCCCACCGTCACCTCGACCACCGAATACGAAAAATGACCCACCTCTACTTACACAACCTACATCTGAAAATGAATCATCACAACGAGATAGACAGATTCCCGGGCCTAGTGATCTATTTACCAACGCTAGTGTTACGAAAACAACCCCGGAAGAAACGAGAAAAGGCTCTCAGTCAGAGAAACGACGGAATAGAAGAAGGGCCCTCAAAGAACAGGAAGAAAATATTTTAATATTTTTTGCCGAAGTTAGTGAATAAGAAAGCAGAATGGACGACAAGCTGAGTGATGAGAATCGATCGAAACATAAAGAACAATTGTCTTGGAAATTTTTTTTTAATTAAAAGAGAAGATATTTCAAGAGGAAAGTAGTTCGTGAGAAGACAAGATAAAAGGCTGTGGAAATATGATATTGAACGTTAATATCTTTAGTGTTGCAGTTTATTGCAGATCAGCCTTGTTGCAATTTCATAAAACAATTATGGATAACAACAACTTACAAACTTATGTAAATGTGCTACAATGGAATGCGCAAAGCATTCGACCTAAATTTACAGAGTTAGGAGTTCTATTAAATCAAGAAAAAATACACACTGCTATTATAAGCGAAACTTGGTTAGACCCGGGTAGTCACCTTCACATTAGCCAATATAACGTCGTTAGAAAGATAGGATTTGGAGGCGTAGCTATATTGACTCGCAGGTCAATTAAGGCACAAAAACATAATGTTGAACTGCTAAATTCACAAATTGAGATCCTTCATATTAGAATTTTAAATTGCAAACATATAGAAAATGTATACTCCTTATACTGCCCACCATCCGCTCGTACCACTTTGACAGACTGGGACCAAATCTTCAATCTTGCCAGACGAAGGACAATAATTGCAGGAGATCTTAATGATTACCACACCAAATGGTCTACTAGAACGGACCCACGAGGTGATCAAATTTTGGATTCCATTTTAGACAATAATTTTGTTTCACTGAATGACGGCTCACATACTAGAATTAAACTGGTCAACGGCACAGTACAAAAATCTGCTCCCGACCTATCTCTTCTGGATATAGCTTTGAAGTTCGACTGGATAGTACTAAATGAAAACTCGGGAAGTGACCATTTAATGATTAACATATAACTAATATTGGCACTTCCAATATCTACAAAAGAAAATGCAATTTTAAAAAGGCTGACTGGTTGCAGTATAAAACACGTATAGAGAGAGAGCTTGAAGTCTTTATAATATTACCAGATTACCACCAGTCTGCGTACGACGCATTCATCGATGTTATTAACGAGGCAGCTGATAAGTGTATCACGTTTATAAAAATATGTGAAAACCCTCTTCACCAACAAAAGTTCACTCCTAAACCATATTGGAATCTGGATATCTCAAAAGCTGTAGCGGAACGACGTCGGGCACTTGCTGTTTTTAGGAGAAACGCTACACCAGTAAAGGACAATGTCCAAAATCACCCTGTGCAATAAACACATCAGATATACACGATAATTAATTATTTGTTTTACTATATTTGTTGCAAATACTTTTATAACACGGACTAGCTGCATGCCAAAATGAAAACATTACAAAAGTATTCTATTCGACTTATAACATTAATCGTCGCCATCTTCGCCAACCGTCATGTGGTGTATAAAAATTACTAGGGACGCCCAATCGCTTACAATCGATCTTTTGAATTTTTAATGAACAGGTGCATATTTTTTAATTTGAATCACATTTTGAATTTTTTTCGAGTAAATTGCAAATAGAAACTATGATAAAAACAATCAACCAACGTTTCTTTTTGTTATTCCCTAAAAGTATAATTTAAAATGCCTACTATACCTAATGAATGAGGTCAAACTCGAAAATAAATATGTAGTGAACAAATCTAATTATTTCATCATGATCAGGTTTTCTAATGATTGTTTAGAAAAGCGTGTGGCTTACTTCTATCTAAACGATCACTTACGAGTTTATGATATTGTAAATTAATATTTTTATTATAAAAATACGATAAACAATAAATCGATAAACATTATATCGATAAAATTATTCGAGGATAGACATTTACAGAACTAGTATAATTAGCCTATGTTGTCAGCACCGTTGTTCTAAAAATTAATTTATGTCTTGATGTTGGTAGAGTAGTTTGGCGCCCTTTCATACATTTACTTTTACTAAGGGAGTTTATATTCTCTTTGTTACGCAAATGCAATGAAAAGTGTACTTTGTGTAAATTACGGCTCTGCTAGTGGTTTTATATTGTTAAAAGACGTTACTAAAATTGTTAAATGTAACACAATATTGTTTTTCAGTTTCTTAAAAATCACACCAAATGATAAAAACCACAATAGTGGTGGTAGTTCTATTATAACCTCAAAATCTGATACTTTTTTTGAAATATATCTTTTCTGCAGCTAGTCCGCTATAAAAATAAGATCATATAGGAATTCCCTAATGATCGACTATACAACACACAATTTTCCGTTGCTTTTGATTTCAGGGCGAACAATGTATGGGCGCTGAGCAATGTCCTTTAGAAAGAAGCATTACAAAACAAGGTCAGGTTGGCACAAAAAACTATTCGTAGTAGTAAAAATAGGTCATGGCAAGATTTCTGTGACAGCATTGGCAGTGTGTCAACTTCAAGTGAAATGTGGGCTAAAATGAAGTGGCTGAAGGGGTGCAGGACAGCGAGAAGTAATATTGCCCGCGAGTCAGCTGATTCCTTACTATGTAATTTAGCACCTGATTATGCAGATCCACCGGCTCCTGTGTTTACTAGCGAGAACGTTCATCTATCTTTACCTGTCTCGGTACATGAACTCGCAAACACAATTAAACAGTCCGATACAGCACCTGGCGCAGACATTTCATACTCTATGATCAAGAACCTTCCAAACGCTGCTAAAATTGTTCTCGTATCTTTATACAACAGATTTTTGCTTTCAACCTTTCTACCAAGATAATGGAGAGATGTAAAAATAATGCCTATACCGAAACTGAAAGTTAACAATATCTCAAATTCAGGTATTAGGCCTATAGCCCTTCTGTCTTGTCCATGCAAGATTTTTCATACAATTATTACGCGCAGATTGGAATGGTACCTTGAAAAAAAACAATTGTTTGCCAGATGAAACAGTAGGCTTTAGAAGATCGCGATCTTGTTTGGACAATTTGACTATGTTAGTGTCAGGCATACAGAGTGGCTTTGGTAACGGAGACGCTACTGTGGGGTGTTTTCTTGATATCGACGGCGCATACAACAATGTGAATATTATAAGTCTTTTAGGTGCGCTAGATAATTTAGGAGTGGGCACCGTAATATGTAATTACCTCTACCAGTATTTGCACTCACGAAGGTTATTTATGGAACTAAGCAATGAAGAGTGTGTAAACAGATTTACAGGAACCGGTATAGCACAAGGTGACCCCTTATCTCCATTATTATTTAACGCAGCAACTATCAATATCTGTAAAAATCTGAATCAAGTATTTATATCTCAATGCGCTGATGATTTTGTACTTATACTAGCCGTAAAAATATAATGGATGCAGTTGCTGTTATTAAAGATGCTCTAGTTGCTTTAAAATGTATGATAACAGATATCGGTTTAAACATTTCTCACAGAAAAACCAAAGTTTGCGTATTTACAAGAGGACACTCGAGAAACTCAAACAGTAGTAATATTACTTTAAACATCAACAACGAACGTATTGAAAGAGTCGATAGTGTTAAATATTTAGGCGTGTGGCTGGATAGAAATTTAAAATGGCATAGACACATAAATGAAACGAGGGAAAAACTAATAAAGTTTCTAAACATCTTTAAAGTGTTAGCAGGGTCCAAATGGGGTGTTCATCCAATGCATTTAAGAAGTCTTTATATTTCATTAATTGAAGCAAACACAGTTGTTTCATAAATGATAGTAGTGTAAAAAGTTATTTATATAAACTAGATAAAGTACAGAATCAAGCGATGAGAGTGATAGGCGGATTCATACGAAGCACCCTTCATGTCATGGAAAGTGAACTGTGTCTACAACTACCGTTCATTCGTAGAAGATATCTTGCGGCAAAATTTCGGTTTAAGTCTAGGTCAATCAAAAATAATATAACAACACGCGTTATAGTAGAACTAAACAGTCAGTGTCAGGTCTTATACTGGAGGAGAAAGAAAGGTTTTTGGTTTAACTTATAACAAATATTGTAATCTTTCTATCAATTCAGCCTCCAAACTATTGATTTACTCTCTCAGCGATTGGATTAGTAAATATGAAATATCTCATAATATTAATACCTAGGCTGCACTAAAAGTATCGGGAATGGAATATTTCCACTGTTCCTGTTATATTAAAATCTTTTTAATTGAAAACCCCTTGGTTTTAAAAATCGAATACCATTTATTTATTTAAAAAAAGATTCTAGGTCTCGTCACAAACAATTTTTGCTATAAAAAAGTAACGGCCTTGCGTTCACTATTCCCTATTAATTATCTTTATACCTGTCTTTTTTCTATTGCATTTAGTGAAAAGAGATAGAGCTGCTTTAAGAATTTCATTTTATGCATTAGTTCGCGGGCTTCTATGATAAAAATAAGTATGTAAACGAATATATAGGATAGAATAGACTAATAAATAGAGCTGTCTACTGTCAGAGGTTCATAAAGGGAGTCACAAGGTTTTGTCAAACTTGTTTAGTCGTTGAGAAAATGGAATTGACTCGAGAAAATTCAAGAGCGATGATTTATTATGACTTTCGAAGTGGTTTAACACAAAAACAGTGTATTGACCGGATGATTTCTGCATTTGGTGATGAAGCCCCATCCAAAACCACAATTTATCGGTTCTGGTTTGCTGAATTTCAACGTGGACGTGTCAAGCTCAGTGATGATCCCCGTCAAGGTCGTCCAAAAACTGCAGTCACCCAACAAAACGTTGATGCTGTACGTAAGCTGATTGAGAAAGATCGACATGTGACATACCGCGAAATTCAGGCAACTTTAGACATTGGCATGAGTTAAATACAAATAATCTTGCATGAACAATTAGGTGTAAAAAAGTTGTTTTCCCGATGGATACCACCGCATTTGCTCTGTGAAGAGCAAAAAGCGGCTCGCGTTACTTGGTGCGTCAGAACTCTCGAAAGATTCCACGCAGGATCCTCAAATGCTGTATACAACATCGTATCAGGTGACGAATCCTGGGTATACGCGTTCGAACTCGAAACAAAAAAACCAGTCACGAGTTTGGTTGTTCAAAAATGAGTTAAAGCCAACAAAAATTGTTCGTTCACGGAGTGTTGCAAAAAAAATGGTGGCCACGTTTGTCTCCAAAACCGGCCATGTTACGACTATTCCTCTTGGGGGACAAAAGAACGGTTAATGCAGAATGGTATGCTAGCATTTGTTTGCCACAGATCGTTTCTGAACTCCGTAAAGAGAACTGCAACCGCCGCATCATCCTCCATCACGACAATGCGAGTTCTCACACCGCACACAGAACTAAAGAGTTTTAAGAGCAAGAAAACATAGAATTATTAGACCATCCGCCATACAGCCCCGACCTAAGCCCTAATGATTTCTATACTTTCCCTAAAATAAAGAATAAATTGCGTGGACAGAGATTTTCATCATCTGAAGAAGCTGTGGAAGCCTACAAAACGGCCATTTTGGAGACCCCAAAATGAAGTTGCAAAGAAAAAAAAAAAAGAAAACCAAAGAAGAAAAAAAAAAAACAAAAAAAAAAGAAAAAAAAAAGGCGGGCAGCAGATGGACATTTGTGTAAGATTTAAAATAAGGGTAGTATATATTCGCCGATATTCGAGGCTTTATCGTACGTTACATCGTTGAATTACAATCAATTTGTCATATTATTCGATTCTAAGAGCGCCCTGTTATATTTGGCTCGGCTGCCCTCGAGTATTCGAGGACTTCCGATAGCCTATAGTATCCTAGATTCCATATGTAAGCTTAGTGCATTAAATAAGGTGGTAATCTTTCAATGGATATCTTCTCATACAGGCATCATGGGTATCGAGGAGGCTGATCTAGCTGCAAGCCGAGCTATTAGAGACGGTATTACATATAGTACTTCACCAGTACACAGCGAACTGCTACGTGAGGTTAAAGTAAATTGTAGGTAGTTATGGCAAGAGCATTTTAATGAACGCTCACTTAGTAAGGGAATATGGTACAAAACCATTCAGTATCAACCTTCTCGTTATCCATGGTTTGAAAAAAATTAAATTAACAGGAAGAATATTGTTGCGCTCTTAAGACTTCGCTCGGGGCACATCCTGCTAAGTTCAGATTTCTGATAGGAATTTCAGACTCCCATAATTGCTCGGAGTGTAATACTGTAAAAGATGTGCACCATGTTTTGCGGGAGAGTGCTCGAAACGAGATTCAAAGGCAAGATACGCATTTTTGCACAATCACAATGTAGGCATTTGTAATGCTATCCTATTCTCTCCATTTTGTCATGAGGCCAAAATGATAATCAAACTTTATTTACATGTAATGTGAGTCTAGCGAGATGTAATCTTTTCTTACTTATAAGGGTAATCATATCACAGGATTTTGAATAATATCTATTTTTGTTGCTAAATTTATTTTATTTTATGTAGCTCTGTTACTTTCTATGTTATTATGTGTTCATTACTTTATTTTCTGTTATTATTTTTGTGTATATATCACGGGGGTGACATAGTAACTGTGTGACAAAACCCCTTTTTTTGACAATAAAGATATAAAAAAATATTGTTTACAGAATTTTTTAAATAATTGTCGATATTTTCCTTGAAAGAAAGCCGCCTGCTGCTGCTGCCTACAGTTGGCTACGGAATTGCACCTTAACAAAATCACATACCTACAACTAACCTCTCCAAATCTTTGGGCATTCTAAAGAATAATTTTGGGTCTTTTTGTTGTTTATAATTGTTGCAACCATATACAGCATAAATTAAAACACGTGAAAAACTAGGTTTTGCAGACATAATTTAATCATTACTCATATAATTAGTAAAATAATACAAACAATAAAAACTAAATTCAACAACTCATGCTACTAGAGGTGCTAGTGTGCATGATTGCCAAGTTTTGAGCGGAGCTGCACGTATTATACGGTAGGTTTTATATAGTATTTGGTAGCAGTAGCCAAACAGCGCGTACGAACGATACGCACAGTCAATCAGTGATACGTATGACTGCACCGCGACCCGCTTACTCCCCATGACATAGATATAAGAAAAATAGGTATTATTGTATAAAAATAAATATTTTTCTTGTATCAAAGCCCCATGATACCTTATTTTCGACTTATGCGCAACAACGGTCAACGCTAGACTTTTGTGCCGCTACGTATAATTGCCGACATAAGTCGGAGCACACTTTTTATTGGTCGATACGCCTTTGACCACGCTGACGCTCAGCGTGATTGGTTCACCAGTCGATTCTCGTCGTCTATTGGTTTCGAACGTATTATTCGGCTTCCGTACACTTCGGAGCAATAATTTTAGTGATAACTTTTTTAATTAGTTTATTTTCGTTAATTGTTTTTGTTACCTCGTTGTTAATTGTTATTTTTGTATTCCTTGTTATTAATTGTTTTTGTTATTTCTTGTTTTTAATTATTTTTGTTGTTATAATTTGAGTGTTCAGATTTTGGTCTAAATATGCAGAGAAGGAAGAATTCGGTGTTAAATAGACAATCCTGACAAATGGTCTATTCAGTGTTTAGTTACATGAAAAAATTAGGTACTGCAAAAAACATCATAGACGTATATAAACAGACTGCTGAGGCGACTGAAACTAATGTCTCAG